CGCCGCCATCTTGGGGGGGGCGGAAGGAGGAAGGTCGGGCTGGGCCGGGGAGGGGCGGCCCTGAGGGGACCCTCGGGGTTCTGTCAGCGCTGAGGGGACCCGTGGTCTCGTCCCAAGGGGTCCCCCTTGGCCCTGTTGTCCCCAAAGTGTCCCCATAGCCTTGTCCCAAGGGGTCCCCCAAGGCCCTGTTGTCCCCCAAAGTGTCCCCGTGACCATGTCCCAAGGGGTACCCCATGGGCTTGTTGTCCCCAAAGGGTCCCTATGGGTCTGTCATCCCCAAAGAATCCCCATGGCCTCGTCCCAAGGGGTCCCCATGGCCCTGTTGTCCCCAAAGTGTCCCCATGGCCCTGTCCCAAGGGGTCCCCATGGGTCTGTTGTCCCCAGAGTGTCCCCGTGACCTTGTCCCAAGGGGTCCCCATGGCCCTGGTGTCCCCAAAGGGTCCCCATGACCTTGTCCCAAGGGGTCCCCATGGCCCTGTTGTCCCCAAAGTGTCCCCATGGCCCTGTCCCAAGGGGTCCCCCATGGCCCTGTTGTCCCAAGAGGTCCCCATGGGTCTGTCATCCCCAAAGGATCCCCGTGGCCTCATCCCCCACAGCCCTGTTGTCCCCAAATGATCCCCAGGGGTCCCCATGGGTCCCCATGGGCCTGTCGTCCCCAAAGTGTCCCCATGGCCTCATCCAAAGGGGTCCCCCATGGCTCTGTTGTCCCCAGAGTGTCCCCATGGCCCTGTTCCAAGTGGTCCCCATGGCTCTATCGTCCCCAAAGGGTCCCCATGGCCCTGTCCCAAGGGGTCCCCATGGGTCTGTCATCCCCAAACTGTCCCCATGGCCTTGTCCCCAGGGCTCTCCATGGGTTGGTTGTCCCCAGAGGTCCCCATGGTCCTGTTCCTGGGGGTCCCCATGGCCCTGTTGTCCCCAGAGTGTCCCCATGGCCTCGTCCCAAGGGGTCTCCCATGGCCCTGTTGTCCCCAAAGGATGCCCATGGCCTTCTCCCAAGAGGTCCCCATGGGTCTGTTGTCCCCAGAGGTCCCCATGACCCTGTTCCTGGGGGTCACCCCAGCCATCTCTGTCACTTCCCCGGGTCCCCAGGGGTCTGCTCCAGGTCCCCATGGCCCTGACAGGTCCTGGGGTGTCCCTGGGGACAGGACGGGGTTGGGGACAGAGCCCCGAGCGGTGGCAGGACACAGGCTGGCACCTCGTGACGGTGACACCAACACTGTTTATTGCCAGGGGAAGGTGACACCCCTTGGGAAAGACCCAGGAGATGGTGGGGTGACACTGGGGACATGTTGGGGACAAGCCGGTCACACGCTGGTGGCCTGAGCGTCGTCACCGCTCTCGTCCCAGCCCCGTGCCACCATCCGCCGTCCCGTCCTGCCAGGGTGGCCCAGGGTTTGGGCCATGGCACCCCGCAGCTCCGCCTGCTCCCTCTCCAGCGCCGACAGCCGTCTCTCCTGCGAGGGGAACCCCGTCAGATCCCACCCGGGTCCCTCCTGTCACCCATGGGTGCACCCAGGTCCCAACTCTTACCAGCTCCCGGTTCTTCTCCTCGCTGCTCTTCAGCCTCTCCAGATCCTTCTTCCTGGTGCCCTCGGCCGCCGTCAACCTGGTTGGGTTGGGAATGAGTCGAGATCCCAACATGGTTGGGGGCACCCACAGGTTGGGGGCACCTAGTGGTTGGGGTCATCCACTGGTTGGAGGCACTCACTGCTTGGGGGGACCCACTGGTTTGGGAGGACCCACTGGTTTGGGAGCACCCATTTTTTTGGGGCACCCACTGGTTTGGGTCAACCACTGGTTGGGGTCATCTACCAGTTGGAGGCAAACACCAGTTGGGGGCACCCACTGGTTTGGGAAACCCACTGTTTGGGGTCAACCACTGTTTGGGGACACTCACTGGTTTGTGGACACCCATTTTTGGGGGGCACTCACTGTTTTGGGTGCACTCCCTGTTTGGGGGCAACCACTAGTTTGAGGCATCCACAGGTTGGGGGCACCTAGTGGTTGGGGTCATCCACTGGTTGGGGGCAGCTACTAGTTTGGGGACATCCATTTTTTGGGGCACCCCCTGTTTTGGGGCACTCACTGGTTTGGGGCACCCACTGGTTGGGGGGACACCCATTTTTTTGGGGCACCCACTGTTTTGGGTCAACCATTGGTTGGGGTCATTTGGGAGCACCCATTTTTTTGGGGCACCCACTGGTTTGGGTCAACCACTGGTTGGGGTCATCCACCAGTTGGAGGCAAACACCAGTTGGGGGCACCCACTGGTTTGGGAAACCCACTCTTTGGGGTCAACCACTGTTTGGGGACACTCACTGTGGACACCCATTTTTGGGGGGCACTCACTGGGACACTCACTGGTTTGTGGACACCCATTTTTGGGGGGCACTCACTGTTTTGGGTGCACTCCCTGTTTGGGGGCAACCACTAGTTTGAGGCATCCACAGGTTGGGGGCACCTAGTGGTTGGGGTCATCCACTGGTTGGGGGCAGCTACTAGTTTGGGGACATCCATTTTTTGGGGCACCCCCTGTTTTGGGGCACTCACTGGTTTGGGGCACCCACTGGTTGGGGGGACACCCATTTTTTTGGGGCACCCACGGGACACCCACTGTTTTGGGTCCACCATTGGTTGGGGTCATCCACCTATTGGAGGCAAACGCCAGTTGGGGGCACCTACTGGTTTGGGGGAACCCACTGGTTTGGGAAACCCACTGTTTGGGGTCAACCACTGGTTGTGAGCACCTACTGGTTGGGGACACCCATTTTTTTGGGGCACCTATTGGTTGGGGGCAACCACTAGTTTGGGGCACCCACAGGTTGGGGGTACCCACTGGTTGCGGGCACTCCCTGTGTTGGGAGCACCCACTGGTTTGGGGCACCCACTGGTTGTGGGCACACTGGGTTGGAGACACCCGCTGTTGGGGCACCCACTGGTTGGGGTCATCCCCTGGTTGGGGGCACCCACTGGTTGGGGGGACCCACTGGTTTGGGGACAGCACACTGGGTTGGAGACACCCACTGTTGGGGGCACCCACTGTTTGGGGTCATCCCCTGGTTGGGGCACCCAGTGGTTGGGGGGACCCACTGGTTTGGGGACAACCATTTTTTTGGGGCACCTACAGTTCGTGGGCACCCCCTGTTTTGGGGCACCCACTGATTTGGGTCAACCACTGGTTGGGTCAACCACTGGTTGGGTCATCCACTGGTTGAAGGCAAACACTGGTTGGGGGCAGCCCCTGGTTTGGGGCACCCACCGGTTTTGGGCACCCATTCCCCATCCCTTACCTGGCCCCCAAATTTGCCGCCCGGGCGTTGGCCTCCTCCAGCTGCTTCCGGAGCCTCTCCAGCTGCTCCCGGTGCTGCTCCTCCATCTCCCCGACCTTCATCTCCATCAACCGAATCTTCTCCTGGTTCTCCCCCACCTCCTTCCTCAACCCCTCGATCAACCGCCCGTGCTGGAGAAGGACCAAGATGGGGTGTGACAAGTGGGACACGGCCAACGGGGCCACCTCGGTGGTTTTGGCTAACACCCACCTACCCACCCACCCAGGGTGGTCACCTTCTCCAGGGGGTGGATGGCGTAGAGCTCGCCCTGGGCCACCGCCGCCTCCTCCGCGTAGCGCTGCCACGGCACCGTCGATTTGCGCGGCAGCGACACCGACGAGCGAATCTTCCCGCGACCCTACGGCATCGGCGGCACCCGGTAACGCTGACCTTCTACTCCACCAGGATGCCACAGTGGCCAGATGGCTACCAGGGCTTCCTGGGGCATCGTGGAGGACAAGGGACCCCAGGTTGGGGGCAACCATTGGTTGGGAGCACCCACTGGTTTGGGGCAACCAGTGGTTGGAGGCACTCACTGGTTGGGGGCAACTACTGGCGTGGGGCACCCAATAGTTTGGGGTCATCCACTGGTTTGCGTCACCCAATAGTTGGAGGGACCCACTGGTTTGGGGTCATCCACTGGTTGGAGGAACCCACTGATTGGGGGCAAACACTGGTTTGGGGAACCCACTGGTTGGGTTCAACCACTCTTTTGGGGCACTGACTGCTTGGAGGCATCAACTGGTCTGGGGTTATCCACTGGTTTGGGCACCCACTGGTTGGAGGAACCCATTGATTGGGGGCACCCAACGGTTGGAGGAACCCACTGATTGGGGGCAAACACTGGTTTTGGGGAATCCACTGGTTGGGTTCAACCACTCTTTTGGGGCACTGACTGCTTGGAGGCATCAACTGGTCTGGGGTTATCCACTGGTTTGGGCACCCACTGGTTGGAGGAACCCATTGATTGGGGGCACCCAACGGTTGGAGGCACCCACTGGTTGGGGCCACCAACTGTTTAGGGGCAACCACTGGTTGGAGGCAACAACTAGTTGTGGGCACCCACTGGTTGGGGACACTCGGTGATTGGGGGCAGCCATGGGTCTGGTGCAACCACCAACGTTCTCCTTGGTCACAACAAGAGGGTGGCCTGGTGGCTACTGGGGCTTACCGGGGCGTCACGGTGGGTGAGTGTCCCTGGGTTGTCCTCGGTCGGTGGCCTCTCCACGTGCTCGACGCTGCTCTGCTTGCGGAGGCGCCGGGTGGCTTTGTTCTGTGCCGGGACGCTCTGGGTGCGTTGCACGTTCCGGCGTTCCCGGCTGGACGGTGGCGGTGATGGTACCGGTGCCGGTGATGGTTCCGGTCCCTCCTCCCGGCCCCGAACGCGGCGGATGCTGATGAGGGACTGGCTTTTGATGAGGGGACTGTGTTTGCTCAGGTCCCGTGGTGGCACGAAGCCTGGTTTGAAGCTCTCTGCTGGGCTACGAGGGGAGATGGGGTGATGGCATGGACACATCCTGGGGTGGTGTCACACCAGGAGGGACCAGAACCACCCTGAACCCAGCCAGGACCAGAGACACCCCAAAACCAGTTGGGATCAGACCCATGTCTGGACCCCAACCTGGACCTGGAGCTCCCCAAACCCACTTGGGACCAGAAACATCCCAAAAACAGTTGGGTTGGGATCCATCTCCTGACCCCAGCCCGGACCTGAAGGTCCCCAAACCCAGCCAGGACCAGAGACCCCAAAACCAGTTGGGATCAGACCCATGTCTGGACTCCAACCTGGACCTGGAGCCCGCCAAACCCACTTGGGACCAGAAACACCCCAAAACCAGTTGGGTTGGGATCCATCTCCTGACCCCAGCCCGGACCTGAAGGTCCCCAAACCCAGCCAGGACCAGAGACACCCCAAAACCAGTTGGAACCAGAAACATCCCCCAAACCCAACTGGAACCAGAACCATCCTCAAAACCAGCCTTGACCTGAACCACCCCAAACCCAGTTGGGATCAAACCCGTCTCCTGACCCCAGCCTGGATCTAAACTACTCCAAAACCAGTTGGGACCAGAGACACCCCAAAACCAGTTGGGATCGGGCCCACCTCCTGACCTGACCCTGGATCTGAACCACCCCAAACCCAGCAGGACCAGAAACACCCCAAAACCAGTTGGGACCAGAACCACCCTGAAACCCTCAAGGACCAGAAACACCCACTAAATCCATCTGGGACCAGAAACATCTCCAGGACCCAGCCTGGACCACAAGTATCCACTAAATCCAGTCCAGATGGCACCATTCCCTGAACTGGGACCAGAACCATCCCCTGCTTGGACCACAACCATCTGCTGGACCCATCAGAGACCAAAACCATCCCCTGAACCCAATTGGGACCAGTAACTCTGGGACCAGAGTCACCTTAGACCCAGCCAGGACCAGAACCACCCCAAGCCTGTCCTGGTGTCCCACCTCTCTACCGAAGGTCCCCCTGGCCCCACATGTCCACCTTGGTCCCATGCATGTTTCTGTCCACCCACCGGTACCTTCGCTCCATGGTGGAGCTGAGCCGGACGGAGACGGGGACAGGGGTCCCCTCCTTGATGGCGGTGAGGATGGTGGGCAGGGGCTCCAGCTCCTCCTGCGTGGCCTGCCAGGATGAGACAAGGACATTATGGGGACAAGGGGTGGCCTTGTGCCATCCATGGGGCAGTAGACACCAGCTCTGCCCGTGGGGAGAAGAAGGTGGCCGGTCTTGCCAGCTACGCTCGGGGACAAACAGGTGTTGGCACCTGGTCTAGGCTGGAGAAGATGTCACAGAGCAGGAGGTGGAGGGTGGCGAGTTCCAGGGCCAGGTCCACGTAGCCGTCGTAGGTGGCCATGTGGACGCTGCTCTCGGGGTTGGCCACGCTCTGCAGGAAGTCCCTCATGGTGCTCCAGTTGTGCTCCAAGAACTCATTCATGAAGCCCATGTAGGCCTCCTTCTCGCCAAACCTGGAGGCCACCATGTCTGGTTACCCCGGGGGCCAGGCGATGGCCTGGGTCACCACCACGCTCATGGGCCAGGCCACCTCCAGGATGATGGACCAAGTCACTGCAACGTCCCTGTGCCACCCTGTCTACAAGCCAGGAGATGGGTGAGGACACCTCCATGGACCAAGCCACCCATAGGTCAGGCCACCACAGGGGACACACGAGGTTCTGCTGCTGGGACACCTCAACCCTATACATGGAGTGGAGATGTCCTCTGCTGCCCCATGGCTGGTTCATGGCACGGAGGAGGAGATGGCCCTGCTGCCCCATGGCATGTTGGGGACAACCCTACTGGCCCACGGTATGCTGGGGACAATCCTACTGCCCCATGGTGTGCTGGGGACAACCCTACTGGTCCATGGCGCGCTGGGGACAACTCTGCTGCCCCAATGCATGTTGGGGACAACCCTACTGGCCCAAGGCACGTTGGAGACAACCCTACTGGCCCATGGCGTGTTGGGGACAACACTGCTGCCCCATGATGTGTTGGGGACAACCCTACTGGCCTGTGGTATACTGAGGACAACCCTACTGCCCCATGACTCTCCACAGCACATGCCCCACAGCACGTAGAGGATGTCCCCACTGCCCCATGGCATCCCCAATGGGGATGTCCCTCCCCACTCCTACCAATGCCATGCCCCATGACGTACGTGGTGAAGTTGGCCAAGTTCTGGATGACCTTGGCCACCAAGGTGAGGGTACGGGCGGTGGCCTCGCTGGGGTACTCCTGGACCAGGCCGAAGAGGCTGGGGGACATGATGGCGGGGCAGAGGAACCGCAGGAAGAGGGAGGCCGAGACCAGGCGCTGCCCGATGGGGGTCTTGCCCCGCGCCGCGCACTCCTCCTGCCAGGCCGCGAAGATCTCGCCCAGCTCTGCTGGGAAGGCCCTGTGGGGACAGGCACCATGATGGGTGCTGGGGTAGGTGGGTGGCCCTGGAGACCTCCCCGTGTGCCACCACGATGTGCTGTGGGTTGTGGTACCCACCATGACTATGCTTATCCCCAAGCTTGTCCCCAGGTCCTTCCTGGTGCCCATCCCAGGGGTGGTGCCCATCCCTCTCCTCCATGGCTGTTCCCAAGCTTGTCCCCAGGTCCTTCCTGGTGCCCATCCCAGGGGTGGTGTCCATCCCAGTCCTCCATGGCTGTCCCCAATCTTGTCCCCAGGTCCTTCCTGGTGCCCAGGCCCATCCCAGGGATGGTGCCAGTTCTCAGTGCCCATCCCCATGCCCATCCTGGTGCCCATGCTCGTCTCCAAGACCATCCCCAGGTCTTCATGGTGCTGGTGCCTCTTCCATGTCAGTGTCCATCCCCAAGCTCGTCCCTGTGCAGGTGCCCACCCCCATGGCCATCCCCCGTGCCCAGCCCCAGGCCCGTGCGGGGGTTGTCCCTCACTCGCAGGACGTGGCGATGCGCTGGAAGGTCTCCTCGCAGACCTGCCGTAGGTTGTTCTGGTTGTCGGAGAGGTCAAGGCCAGCACATTTGCTGGGATCCACCTCGCAACTGTCATCTGAGGTGCAGAGCTGGGCCACGGCCTCACCTGGGCCACCAAGGGACAACTCGTAAGGGGACCAACCAGCCACCACCACGGGCATGGCTGTGACAAGACCCCACCACATCCCCACGGATGTCCTGGGGGTGTCCTACAGCCCCGTAATGGTCCACCCATGCCCTGCACCTCATAACACCCCATAATGTCCCACAAAGACTTGTCACGTTCAGCATCACGTACCCAACGTGTCCTGGAGGTACTTGCCCCCCACCAGTTTCATGTACTCGTCGATGGCTTTGGTGGCCAACGTGTTCTCACGGAAGATCAGCGCCTCCCGGTCGTCGAAACGGTCCAGCTCGGCCACACCAAGGTCAATGAGGAACGACTGCCAGGTGGACAAGTTGAACAGTGGGCAACCATGGTCCCAAACTGGGTTGATCAACCCACCCTGGGAACTGCAGGCATCTCCTAGCACTTCCCTGAATGGTGTTTCCCATCCCATCAATCCCATCCCTACTCAACCCATCCCAACTCATCCATCCCATCCCATCCCAACCTGTCTCATCAATCCCATCCCAAATCGTCCATCCCTTTCATCCCAACCTGTCCCATCAATCCCATCCCAAATCGTCCATCCCTTTCCAACCCAACCCATCCATCCCATCTCATCCCATCTCAACTCATCCATCCCATTCCAACTCAATGGAACTCGAATCATCCATCCCATCTCAACTCAACCCATCCCAACTCAACCCATCCAATCCCATCCCAACCCAACTCATTGGTCCCATTCCAACCCAACCCAATCCATCCACCCCATCCCAACTCAACCCCTCTGAACTCATCCATCCCATTCCAACTCAACCCATCCCATCAATCCCATCCCAAATCATCCATCCCTTTCCAACTCAACCTAATCCAACCTATCCACCCCATCTCACCCCATCCCAGCTTAACCCATCCCAACCCAACACGTCCTCTCATTCCAACTCAACCCAACCCAACCCAAATCATCCACCCCATTCCAACCCCATCCAACCCATCATCCCATCTCATCCCATCCCATCCCAACTCAACGCATCCCAACTCATCCATCCCATTCCAACCCATCACCCCATCTCATCCCATCCCAACTCAACGCATCCCAACTCATCCATCCCAGTCCAACTCAACCTACCCCACCCCATCCCACCCCAGACCCATCATGCCACCCAGCTTGTCCTCACCCACCTTCCCCACATCCCCCACGGCCAGCACCCCCTTCACCTTGGCCTTCCCAGTGCTCTGCAAGACGCGGACCAAAGCGCCGGCCAGTTCCTCCTTGTGCCGTACGGCGATGGTGGGCTCCAGGCGGGCGCACAGCTCCCGGTAGTGGAAGGTGATGAACTCGGCCAACTCCTTGTAGCGCACGATGGGCAACACCTGCACCTCCCGGTAACGGCCCCGCACCCTCACCGACGGCACCCGCTCACCTCCCGCCGGAGCGCTCAGCGGGTACCAGCGCTCCAAGGGCTGCCGGGCGGCCGCCAGCTCGGACAAGGGGATGGTGATGGAGGCCACCGGTTGGCCGGGGTGGTCATCGCGGCAAAGGGCGAGGGTGAGGGCGCGGGAGGGCGGGAGGGCAGCCAACTGGAAGAGTTCACCCCAAAAGAGCTCGCCGTCGGGGCCGGCCACCTTGGCGGTGGTGCGGGCGAAGAGGGTGCCATCCAGGTGGAGGTGGCAACGGAGACGCCGCCGAGGTGGCAGGTCCCGTGCTTCGTAGACCCACAGGCTCAGGGCCAGCTCCAGCCGCTCACAGTTGTCCTGTGGGTGGTGGGGGACAAGGGGGACACAGCGGGTGGTGGATGAATCTGAGGGGAGTTTGGGGGAGGACAAGGTGAAGGTGACAGGGAATTCTGCTGGTGGATGTGGGGATGGGGGGAGTGGGGACAGGAGGGGACATGGGAAACCTGGGGGGACACACGGGGATGGAGGGGACATGGAGGGACAGGAGGGGACATGTGGGAATGGGGGGGACCAGGAGGGACAGGAGGGGACATGGGGGACATGAGGGACAGGAGGGGACATGAGGGACAGGGGGGACAGGGCAGGACATGGGGAACAGGAAGGGACATTGAGGACAGGAGGGGACATATGGGAATGGGGGGGACAAGAAGAGACAGGAGGGGACATGAGGGACAGGGTGGGAATGGAGACAGAACAGGACGTGGAGGGACGAGAGGGGACATGGGGGACAGGAGGGGACATGAGGGCCAGGGCAGGACACTGGGGACAGGAGGGGACGTGGGGTTCTGTGGAGGGACCTGGAGACAGGAGGGGGACAGGAGGTGACATTGGGGACAGGAGGGGACAGGGATTTGGTGGAGGGACATGAGGACATGATGGGACATGGAGGACTGGAGAGGACATGGGGGACAGGAGGGGACATGGGGGACATGGGGGACAGGGGGGGACAGGAGGGACAGCGG